TACTCGGCACCGTGGTAGAATGGTGGACCCAACTGAAAGTCAACGAAAATATGTATCAATGCTAGCAGCTATGACTAACGAGCAACGTGCAGTCATTAATCCAATCCGCGATGCTATTGCTAATAATACACATTACTTAGCATTTTTAGATGGACCAGGGGGTACTGGAAAGACATACGTATTAAACTGCATCTTGCATTATTGTAATGCCAATCGAGTCGCATTTGAAGCTGTGTCAGCTGCTGGGATCGCCTCATTATTACTTCTAAATGGTAGGACAGCACACAGTGCTTTCAAAATCCCCATACCAGTTTACGGGGACTCTATCTGTTCCTTTTCTCCACATGATTTAACGGGAGCTGGGTTAGATGCCTTACGATTCATCGTTTGGGATGAAGTTGCTATGCAACACAAATATGCCATTGAATGTGTGGACAGGACTATTAGGGAGATGACCGGTGTAGATATCCCTTTTGGAGGAAAGGTTGTCCTCTTCGCTGGAGACTTTCGTCAAACTCTCCCAATTGTCAAGAGAGCTAACCTGATGGAATTAGCCCAATCAACTTTAAAAGCGTCTTATCTTTGGAATTCGGTACACAGGTTTGCTCTGACGGTGAACATCTGACTAGGAGGTCTAGCAGCAAATCCAAATCCAAATAACGCGAACTTTGCGAAGTGGCTTTTGGAGTTGGGATCCGGAGATCTTCAACAAGATTACAGTTCAAACACGCCAATATTTCATTGCAATGTTTCAATCGTACGTCCTCCAGCAATATACGATCAGCAACTTCTCGAAGCAGAGTACGGAGGTGTCGAGAACTTAATTCAGCAGAAGAATTGGGGTCATTTAACTGAACTTTACTCAAGTAGATGCGTCATTACACCTTTGAATAAGACAGTACACAAGGTTAACAAAGAAGTAATGAATTCATTACCAGGACATTATCATATATCAACATCAATTGACCGTATGGATGAGAAATACGCAGACCCTGTAACATCTGACGTATTGAATTCTTTCAACTTTCCGGGTTTTCCACCACACAAGTTAATACTTAAAGTTGGTTCTTCAGTCATGGTATTGAGAAATTTGAATATGGCGGACGGTCTCTGCAACGGTACTCGATTACTAATCACTGACTATGACTTACACGCATTACAATTCCGAGTGTTAACTGGGGAGTTTAAAGGAACAGCAATCAGTTTACCAAAGATTAAGCTCAAGCACAAGGGTAATGAGGACTGCCCAATACCTTTCTACAGGTACCAATTCCCAATCATGCCAGCATTTTGTATGACAGTAAACAAAAGCCAAGGCCAGAGTTTGGAACGAGTAACTGTCCTTTTACCTGAACCAGTATTTTCCCACGGTCAACTGTATGTGGCACTGTCTAGATGCACAACTGCCGCGAACGTGAAGGTATGTATTGCATCTAATTCAGATAGCATATCTACAACAAACATTGTATACCACCCCGTATTACGAGATTGAAATTGTAAATTCGGCGAACTGTTTTAAAATTATAGTAAGCTCATATTATTTTCACCAAACTATTCAACTTTTGATATAGATTACTAATCTGTTCATCTACTTTAATAGGATTATTCAGTATTTAATGCTCATGCTGAAATAAAGAACAAAGTTATGTTAAGTAATAATTTGATCCATCATGTCACATAATCATCAAAATTTATTGCAAAAGGCAAAATACTGCATCATTAATTTGTTTGATTAGAAAATGTTGAAATAGCGTACTTTGGAACATGGAGTCATTATCATGGTTTCAGTTTTGAGATCAGGCAGTGATTTTTTTTTCCTGAGTGAATGTAATGTAATGAAGCATTTGTTGCGAGACCAGAGTATGACAAGAAACTCGGAAATCAACAACCTCAAGTTTCGATTTTTAAATATATTGAGCAGAAATAACTTTGATCAATATTTGAAAGTTGATGTGTTCTGCAATTGTGAATTCTCTTTCATTATAATAGTATACATTTTGATTTTATTACTCTGGTCACATGCTAATAACTAAGAAACTGAAGAATTGAACAAAAGCCCATACGAAGGGCAAATGCCAAAAAATCAGACGTCAAGTCAAAGAATAAGTAACCACATTAGAAAAATGACCATGGTGCCACTTATTACAAACTTAGAGACACGGTTAATAGTATTGATACAGAAATTCAATTCCAAGACACATGTTGATGATAAATCCCTGAGGCTAAAATTGTTAGAGTTACTGGTCAGAAAAGAGAGTGACTAGACCAGGATTTGAACCTGGGACCTCAGTAATAGCTGAGACACATGCTAGAGTGTTGCCTTTACCACTAGGCTATCCAGTCTTGTACCAGATGTGATGGCCATGCAACTGTATGTATGTGTACAGAGAGTATGAACTGGGATAGGACCAGTTCAGTGTGATGTAGTCACATGTGTGTAGCTACATGGCATGGATCAGTAAATGATCATACATCAACAGATCACCGGCAACTTAACTACTCCAGTAATCAACACGTTGCTAGACGGAGACTCCTTGAGTTTCCCTACGATATGCATCCAGTCTTGTACCAGATGTGATGGCCATGCAACTGTATGTATGTGTACAGAGGGTATGAACTGTGATAGGACCAGTTCAGTGTGATGTAGTCACATGTGTGTAGCTACATGGCATGGATCAGTAAATGATCATACATCAACAAAAATCCAGCTTCACGTAAAGTTTTGCGAAAAACAAGTCAAGACGTCAAAAAAGATGCACATAAATAACATTAATTAAGATGTCTTAGTACATAAACGCAATCATATACCACCCTGCTTGACTAATCATCCGGCTACAGATATGGTAAGTTCGGTCGCAGGGGATAGTTGCCGCATTCAAGAAAATACTTAAAAAACCAAAGCTGAACGAGAGTAGCAATCATTCTCCTGCGGTTTCATATCGTAGGGAAACTCAAGGAGTCTCCGTCTAGCAACGTGTTGATTACTGGAGTAGTTAAGTTGCCGGTGATCTGTTGATGTATGATCATTTACTGATCCATGCCATGTAGCTACACACATGTGACTACATCACACTGAACTGGTCCTATCCCAGTTCATACTCTCTGTACACATACATACAGTTGCATGGCCATCACATCTGGTACAAGACTGGATAGCCTAGTGGTAAAGGCAACACTCTAGCATGTGTCTCAGCTAATACTGAGGTCCCAGGTTCAAATCCTGGTCTAGTCACTTTCTTTTCTGACCTGTAACTCTAACAGGTTATGAGCCCAGTATGCGTTAAAAAGCATCCTGTCAGGGAAGTCTGTGATTAGCCACCCAACACATGTATCTACATATCACAGATCATGGGGGGATGTTGATGTATGATCATTTACTGATCCATGCCATGTAGCTACACACATGTGACTACATCACACTGAACTGGTCCTATCCCAGTTCATACTCTCTGTACACATACATACAGTTGCATGGCCATCACATCTGGTACAAGACTGGATAGCCTAGTGGTAAAGGCAACACTCTAGCATGTGTCTCAGCTAATACTGAGGTCCCAGGTTCAAATCCTGGTCTAGTCACTTTCTTTTCTGACCCGTAACTCTAACATGATCATGATGTGAAAGAGCCGATCAGCAATTGGGTGAATATTGATAATAACCGTGATTGTAAGCGGTGGATGCATATGCTTGCGGTACTCGGCAAAGGATAGAGCATAATACTGTATAATAAAATTATAAATAAGCTATTGTTGTGGCATCCTTGGATTGGCTTTGTACACTTTCAAAATTATTATCCTATCAATCGATAACGCACAAAGATGCTTCCTGCGCCTGAACTTCCAGTAGAGATAATAGGAAAAATCGTATCTTATTTTTACGACGAGCTCCCAAAACAATCAGTTGATGTTCTTAACATTAGTGACAAACCTTTATTACATCATAATTTTATCAAAAAAATTCTTATTTTGAGATTATTAAACAAATTATGGGCTGTAACCACACTGTCATTTTACTACTCACTGGCAGGCCAGTGAGTACGTCCAGCTCAATCCAATCTCAATCCAATCTCAAATCCATGTCAGTTCAATATCAATCCAATCTCAATGTTTGGCCCAGAGTAGCAGACAAACAACCTTCCAGAATGAACTGGAATAAAGTTTGGTTGCATGTCCACACATGAAGGTGTCAGAATGTCTGGAAGGTTTGTGTGATTATGCAGCCCATGCATATCCCCCACTCAAACATAATTGGAGGTCAAACTGATATTGAACTGACATTGGATTGACATTGGATTGAGGTGAATGGAACTCACTGGCCTGCCAGTGACTAGTAAAATGACACTGTGAACAGTACCTCCATTTATTTATCGTGATCTATATTTGAGAACACCTTGGATTAATCGTTACATGAGCAGAATGTGCGTAGATGGCTTTGATCGTGCAGATTTTTGTAACTTGCGTCATCTCTACCTAGATCAAGTACTGTATATCAGCTCTATACACAGTCAACTCAGTTACGAAGATTTATCAGACGCAAGTTGAGACCAACTGGAGCTCGAATATCAATATAGGGAACCGAATTCTGTTCTCATGTGCGACGCAGCAAACATAATCAGTCTATGTGGTGCTGGATTAGAAACCTTAAAACTGAAATTTAGTCACACAGTTGAATTCTCGGCGAGTATGTTAACTGCGATCAAGGCCATCAGAAGCTTGAAAAATTTAATTATTGAAGGCGTTAAGGTAGCACAAATCCCAAATGATACAAAGTCGATAATTGCTGTTTTGAATGACGCTTCTTCATTGGAATCATTATCATTACAACTAGCTACTTTGGAAACTTTGGATTTGAACCCTCGCGCTTTACCAAACCTCGTACATCTTTGGATTTCATTGCACTCAAACAATCTGTTAACTTACTATAATTTTTGTTCAAGCAAGGATCGTAACATCAGATTCATGGAGTGCCTTCCAGGGTGGGTACCCCGCAATTTAACCGCCATGGTAATGCCTCTAAGACATACTCTTAATGCTTTGCTTCTTGAAACGATTCCGGATCATATCCCGACGGCACTTGCTGGTAAAGTCCTGCCAAAACTTAGGGTTATTCGCAGTATCCATATCACAGCCAAACCTCGCCGACCAATTTGGTTCCAATGGGGCATTTTCCGCACCGTAGAAGTATTCATTGCCAATTATCCAAATGCCAAAGGGTACTGGGAGTCAGCTCTGAAAGATATCAACAAACTCAAGAAAGCTCCTAAATTGAAACACTTCATTTTCATTACTCACAATTCAAAAATCAAGAGCAACCCAATTTTAGTCGAACTATTCAAAGCTTGGGGAATTGTGTGCCACTTCCGAACTGAAATGAATCATATTGATGTGCTGGTGAGTATATTTCGATCTTACATCTTAGCTTGTTATAAGTCAGTGTTGACATTTGTTATTTGGTCTTAGAACTTTATTGATCGACTTGATGAGGTAGTTGTCGAAAGTAAAACTTTGGAGCACTGATGTGTATCAGCCTTTTTGATATAATGTAACCGTAAGCAATTTTAACAATACACGACTTCGTATCATTCTAATTTGGATACTAACATTTAACAATGCTATATGTTAAAGTCTGTGCTTCAAGTTATAAAGTATTCGAAAATAAAACAATTTTAAGAAAGTAATAGGCTTGGTTTTGAATTTCTTTCATGCTTATCTCGCCTTTTCCAAATGCTTGGAGAATGAATAATGATTGTCATTGGGCACTGTTAAACTACTGTGATGCTTTATCAACAATTTTGATTAGTACTCTAGCTATTATGTCACATTAAAAGCCTTGGTAGAATAGTGTTTATTTGATTGGTATGTATTTATGTATTGTAGTCTGATTAGTCAGTTTTTCAATATGTTTATGCCCATAAAAGTCATGTAAATGCTAAGATGGTCTGGAATTCTTGATCTAAATTGGTGTTCTGATTAACAATAAAAAATTGAGCATAATAGTTGTAATTATGAGTGACTATGCTCAATCTAATGTTATCCCCTTGGCTTCAGGTAATATTACTCTTTGTTGGGGATACACACCGGTGGAATTGGGCCCCAAATAATAAGTTGTCTTAGCCAGTGTAACAAGTTCTTGGACAAAGTTAAAATGCCCTGTGCGGCGCCCGCCGCCCAATTGTGCTAGTATACCATTATACCAATATACAGATTGAGAATGTCAGAACCGAACCCTTGCACCGGTCATGGCGTCTACTTTTCTGGCATCTTTTGCATTGATGAAATGGTAAGGCTCTGGCGTCATAATCACTAATCACAACGGGTGGCCGCGCTGACCCATAACTTACTTGATTGTAGCTCAGTGAGGAACAAAGCTTCAAGGTCGAGTTCCACAGTTTTTCGACCAACATTGTCTGCAGTGGTGAAGAACCCAACGAAACCGTGGATTACGAGATTCGAGCTACTGGTTACAGCAACAAGGACTTTATGCTGCATCCTGGGAACCTGTACTTCTTGCAGGGCACCTTTTTCCCTACCAATACTCAAGAAACGTACAACAAAGAGTTGTTCTTCGAAGGCTTTGACAGAGCATTGCTTGGTACTGCAGAGTCTTTCTGTGATAGTTTAGCTAACAAAGTAGGCGTAACTGGGATTGGTCGTGTCCTTGACGTTGACTTCTACGTTGAGGAACAAATGCAATACCTGAAGTGCAACGCTAGCGAGCCCGACAAAGTCACTTTGTATGCGATTGTTCAGCACTGCAATTTTCACCCGGAGGTCAGTGTGTTTCGTCTCCCAATTGGGTCAAGAACAATGTGCTGACATTGTTACGGTAGACGAAAGAAGCGACATCTATGACAGTTGAGTATTGTGTTCCTCCTCTCAAGCACCTTGCGGGATCCCCCCAGGTCGTCAAAAAGGGCCGTGAGTGTCAATTCCATGGCTATGTCAAAGATTTCAACGAAGAAACAAACCGTTACATTGTAATCGTGAGTTCCAATGTCTTTTCTTACTTCTCGGAACTGACTCGGCCTTTTAACAGGTGAACAAAGTGTCGCCTACCTCTGGCCACCTTGAATCAGCGGGTTGCAAGAAAGCAGTGAGGGTTGGGAGTCAAGTTCCTAATGATCGTCCAAAGTCCACTAAGTAGGTTGTGTATTTGGTTCCTTGATTATTTGTGCCGGGCCCTGCTAACCGGATCGTCTGAGGGCTCATGTTTAGCTCGCGCCCTGTGAACACACCCTTCAAATCCCCAGTCACGGCTTCGGGCTCCGGCTCCAGCACCCCGTTTACTGCATCCAATCAGACGCCTGCCTCTATTGCTTCAAGTGGCGAACAGCCAGTGCGCCAACCACCAAAAAAGAGGGCGAGGGCACAGCCCAAAAGAAAGGCGACCAAAGTTACACTACTAAAAAAATAATGTTTTCCGGGCGGAACACATATATAAATATTGTGTCATATGTCAACACCCCAGAACACAGAAATATTTATCACACTCTATAGATCCTTTGGATCTCGTGGTTTTGGTCTTGTTTTATTGCTATATAAGAGAAAGTAGTGCCCTCATGCATGGTGCTTGGTATTCGGACACCAACTTTGATCTTCATCTTCGCGTACAGTATTTATTATTATGTATATATTTATGTGGACCACTCAATTGGACCGCATATGAAGTCATTAATTTAACCTTTCTTGAGGTGGGGTCAGCGTCTACAACAACCCTCGTTTCTTGCTTATGCCCCCCTTTGTCATCTTTGTAGCTTTAGAATATGATTCTGAAGGCGGACTTTGTCCTCACACCTAAATATCATTGTAGTCAGACATACTCACTCTATCTGTGTCGGACTTCAAAATCTCTCCTCAGTCGTCATTTCCTTTTTCACATCCCTTCGATCCTTCTCAATCATAGCCATTTTCTTCATCCAGCTCAGAGCAATACCATAAACCTTATCAGGTATGTACCCGTGATCGTATCACCGTCACAGTCCCATAAATCAAGGTTTTGTCTGACCTCTGATCGCTCGAATCTTTGGACCTTGAAGTCTCGCATATACATATCTGTCTCAACCATGTCGAATGTCCGCGAGATCGTAGGCGATAACCCCACCTATTTCGACCTCATCTATCTAGTTCATCCCAGCGACTTCCTTGCCGCTGATCAAACACCTCATGTCAAAGGAACATCAACCGTCGCCGAGGATCCAAACGCCGCACGGGCTCGATCCTTTCGAAGGAATGTTGTATGGGCACTTGATAGAGGAAACGTTAAAAGTGCATTTGCCGGCGTCAATCAACATGCTCTCGAATACTTTGCTCTAAACACAAGCGAACTCTACGACCTTCAGCACCACAAAGACTTACTTCTGGCTGAAGCCTCAGCTATTGCTGCGCACCTCCACGAGGATCGATGCCACATCGCCTTCTTTACTCACACTCTATCTCGCCCCAATGTTGATACATGCGATCAACTCGTTTTTCCTCAAATGGCTGCGAAAGCAAAAGTAGTTCTAGCCGTCGATCAAGTCAGCTTTGATTCAATCAGCCGTAACATTGGTCATTTGAGTGCAATAATCAGGGAGCAAGCGTCAGTATACTTTCTTTTACAAATGAAAAGTTTGAGATTGTACTGACACAGAATTACTTGAATCGCACAGTGAACGGGCTTGTCACCACGAGCTATATCTCCCGCGAGCGCACACTCCACCAGTAGCACATTCAGCTACTTGGTATGTCACTCGTTTTATCTTCCGCTCGACTGTAGTACTGGCAACACATGACGACGAAACAACCACCTCTGAATCCCTCAATTCCGACGAAGAGGCTGATGAAGAAGATGGCGAAGCGGGTGACCAAGACCCTGCACCTCCTACTTACGAAGCTACTTCACAAAATGCGTAAGTCAGATTTTGTTAAATGATCTTCGCTTTTGATCAGACCCAAAGCTCACAGCGGATTCTTCTATCCTATATCCCATACGGTCTTCATAGTCACTAGACTTGTCAAATAATAACTTTGTTAAATAATTTGAGCTGAACAATTACAAACTTTACCATATCTCGCTATGTAGTCTTTCATCTTAAGAGATTGATACCTTTTCTTTGTTCGAGAAACTTTCAAGCTATAAGCTATCTTAGATATGATGTTTGTGCCGGACTTTATCTTCACTCATGATCAGTTGCTCAATCAGTAACTACATCGGTCATATACATATATATGTATTCTTTCGCCTCAAGAAATTTGTACCTTTTCTTTTTTCGAGAAACTCTCAAAGCTATTAAGCAATGAAACAATTGTATACACCTCTCTTACAGAAGCTTCCAAATTTAACAAACTCGTATCAAGATTGATAACCCACTACAATGCCACAAGAATATAATTTATGTCATTAAGCAATACCCCAGAACACATAATTCATCTACCACTTAATTGTAGATGAATTACGTGTTCTGGGGTATATAAATCTGAGGCCCAAAACACAAGGGACATGTGAATATGAACATTCACCTCATTCTTTTTCTTTCTGAAGATGATCATTTCGTAATATACCCGCATTGAATGCATGATCAGTTGACATTTCATAGAGTGTAGTAGTCATACGTAACCAAGTGAGCAGCTTTATGAGATGAATTTAAGAGATAAGTTCAATGTCATGCATCCCAATTTGAACAGGTAAATCGATGTGGGCGGTCACAGTCAGTACTATCTTGGATGACTTACCAAATTGTCGCACTATCAAGGCGGCACAACGTATACAAGCTTGGTGACTGTGCCTTGTGATTAATCGAATGTGGACCAATCTTCAATTTGTGTTCCTCAACATTCACAATCAAGAAGCACGTAAGTTAGTTTGCGTATCCATCATGTGGCACTATGTATACATACAACGGACCAAGCCTATTGAAATTTCAACAACTCATCTTGAGTACGACTTTCATGTCATCAAATCATCCTCGTACCTCATTTCTTCTTTGATCTACATGTGTATGTATGGTGTTTTACGTCCCACACGGATATAATAAAAGTAAGTTCAGACCCTCGTGTTGTGTTCGCTTCAACCTTCTCCTTCACTTTTTCATCTCTGACTGATATCTAATCTTTTCGCTTCACTGATCTTGTGAGCAATGACCTGTCCATTTGACCCTAGCTCACCCGGTGTGTCCAAGCAGATGATGTTGGACTGGATGCATATCAATCATCCAAAGATTCCAATACGACCGAGGATTGACCCAGTTGGTTTGGCTGAGCTGGTTCGATCAGTCCAGCCCGAATGTACGTACTTCCACTCTAAAGCAAGTGTTATCCACCCAGGCTCCTGAAAACTGATCGATCCTTCTTACGGCATCTTATCCACCACCAAAGACTTTCCTAATCCAGCCACTGACAAACTTGCTTGTACGACTGCCAGCGCTTCAAGCATTGAGGCATCTATCTTGACCGATCAGCCCACTACCACAACCATGGAGATCCGCAGTTCAACCTCTACATCACGATACCCCAAGCTTCAATCACTCGAAGAACTCCAAGATTCCAAGCCTTTCCAACCGCCGACTCCGCCATTTTTCAAATTAAACACAGTTGGACGACAGGGCAAGCGAGTTGCGTCCTCCGAGGTCAAACAAAGTCCAAAGAGTAGTGAATTGGGTACGTACATGCGTGCCTCAGTGCTGTTTCAAATCACTTGTCTCTAATACATATGGGATACTCTTGTATTTCTCAAGGTTCAGACATACGTCGTATAAGCTCAAAGACTTCCAAGAAGAAAAAAGTGAGTGCCTCATTTGTTACATATCTTCAAAACCATCTTATTGGTTTATTACTAACACATACCTGTTGATCCAGATCACCCATTCGTCCCAAACTGTCACAAAACCTACCAAGTCGACTGGGGATTCCGTTCATCCAAGTATCCAGCCATCTTCACCTGGTCACATCAATTCAAATACGTCTCTCACTTTTGAGCACGATGAGAAGGATCTCAAAGACCTACACGACTCTCTCGCCATGCCAGCCTTGCCTTCACAGGGTGCTATCACCAAATTACATGTTCCCAAACGTAATGCAATGAAACCCTCGCCTATTCTTGATCACATTGAACCTCGGATCGTTCCTCAACAGCCAGCATATTCCGAAAGTACTGAAATCAAAGATCTCATTGATTTTTCGGATACTGATTGTATGGATATTGGAAACCAAGGTATATGATCATTCTCTTCTTTCCCTGTCCCAAGCTTACCTTGTGATTCTTTCCACAGTGTTAGGCAAGGATATTCCGCCAATTTCTCCTACCACTGTGATTGGAAAGAAGCGATCAGGTGTTGATGTGTTTAAGGAAGAAAGGGGACGTGAAGCACGTAGTGAGTATCATGTCTCCTATCATCTTTCATCTTCTCCTGCTCAAAGCTCGATCTGTGTCTATTCAGTTTGTCAGCTCGAAAAATCAATTGCTCAAATCTTGGAAGAGGTGGGTCAACTGAGTGCTGACGTTTTACAAGCCAAAACGCAACTGGAAGTTCAGGGTTCGTGTGCTGTTGGTTTAGGGCAGCCAATCTTTGCATTGATTAAACTAATGATTGATTGTTTTTAGAACACAAGATTCAAATACTCAAAACAGATCAAGAGTGCCTGAAGAAAACAGCTAACATTACGAGTACACTTCATCCACAAGTTACTCATTTAGAAATTCGAGTTGACACCTTGCGCCGCAAAGTAGACACAGATCACGAAGAGATTGTGACACATGGTCACATCCTTGAGAAGTTGATGGCTTCGGATGACGAAGAAGATGAGAGTAGCGATTAGACCAACAAGAATGATGAAATTTAAATGTCCTTCTCCTTTCATTGCTATTCACAGATTTTTTAGCGCCAAGTGTCTCCACCGATGACAGCTGTTGTACTCATGAGTAGTCTTTCTAGCGACCATATGTACTAGAACTTTTTATAAATGTAGTGATCACTAGTAGTAGAAGTCTTTTGATGGAAATACACGCGGCAGTTGGGATAGGAATACCAAATTGTTATAAAATGAAGGTGAATGAAGCGTCTGATCCAAAGCAAGACAAACTACCTTATATCTGCATAAATTGCTAATGATACATTTCTGTTGAGAGTCTTGATCGCCAAAAATGGACTTTGAGAGAATAAAAGACAATACACCAGTGAAGCAGTATTCTCAGAAGTTGATACAAAAGAATCTTTTGGAATGCCTGATGCTCATGAGAAGTCAGAACAAGATAAGAAGTGTAAAATTGTACAATTTGATCGATTTCAAGCATGGGATGAACATCAATTAATCTCTCTTCTACACGAGAGTTTAGCATGAAATTATTTTTACGTCAACATGGGTGTGATGCTGAAACTTTCAAATAGGATCAACAGTTAGAATCCCCCTAAGCCACGTACGAGGTTTGGTAAGATACATGTGAGGTTCTATTGCCATACTTTCTCCACCACCGAAATTGCCAATGTAATTGAAGACAACCCCATGAACCGCATGGACCACTCAATTGGTACACATATGTGTACCCTTGTTCTTCGACTTTATTCCAGCTTATATTCTCAAGTAGAAAGATTCAACCCTTCCTGATTGGTGAATCCTCAAATTCAAAATCGAGTTCTCATTTGCCTATCTTGTCAATATATAGTAAGTATACTGCTCACTCGTCCATAGATTTGTTGCCTCCCTGATTGTTTTCGTCTCGACATACATCTCTGCCATTTCATTCTACATCTGGGATTTTGTCTTGGCTAATAATCTATACTCTTGATCTTCATAGAGTCGCAACAATATCTTCCCGAACAGTGTTGTTATGCCAGAATCCGGAGTGTCAAGTGAACAACATGCTTTCGAAAATGGCATACAGCCACAACAAGATGACCAAAACAAAGGTGGGAGCTTTTCAATTGGAGGTACATATACATACCTTGGTCTAACTCTTTGATACTTGTTCTATCTCTAGATAATCAGCTGAGAGAAGGGCTTCTCCGGCTTGAAAATGCACTCGATTTTATCAACCAAAAGATGAATGCCGTGTGTCAAAAGGTGGAACAACATCAACAAAATGGTTTGTGTTGTCTATCTAGGCTGATTGATTATAAGTGCATTGCTAACTGGTTGTGTTTTATAGAACGACAAATTGAGGAACTGTCGACTGCTCTGAGACTCGCAGACAGAAAACCTCACAAGCTCGACCGGAAAGTCAAAGATCTGGAGACCAAGATAGCTAATATGGAAACCGAGGCGTACATCACTGCTTCCAAAACTGACGGCCACGACAAGGTTTTCCGTCAGATCATCACAACTTTTGGGGGTATTGATCTTCAGGCAGAATACGACAGCTATGAGAGTGCCAGTCAGAGGGCTGATCGTAGCAACGAGTGAAACTTCTGTATCAATTGACATTACAATACTTGTGATATCCTCTCCTTGAAATGTATCTTGGGCTGTTTGACTTGATCAGGATTGTAATGAAGTGCTTTGTGATTTTATCATTATACGATTGGTTGTATCTTTGCCTTGTCACCAATTTCATTTCCTCAGACCTACAGTTACCACGTAGCGTTCGAAGCTGACTATTGATCAGCTTTGAAAGTGTGAAGAGCTGTCGACCCAATGGAATCCGCGCTGCTAAGATGACCCCCTTTGAATTTCTGTATGCTGTTTGAGGGACTAATACACTAACTACATGAACATGAGTCACTCTGGATATGATGAACTTGACCTCACAACGCGCAAAATCAAGTTCTTTGTTATGAACTCCTTTGTTTGTTTGTTTCTATCTCCACTTATATTTGACATGGTCATGTAGGATTTTTTGTTACCTTCATTGACACTCCGTATCTCAGCCAGCTTCTTTCACTTACAAGTTTCTTTCACGTTCTTTCCTTATTTGATATTACATTCAGGTTTTTCTTTATTTATCTAATTCATCATTTGGTCTTCATGTCCAGACGGGCAAGTTCTCGCATACTAAAGCGCAACAGGAATCTCAACCAAGATATCGAAGCAGAAATAGAGAAAATTGTGGATGATGATGCAAAAGAAACAGTTGATCCACCGGCAGGTTCAAGAAAAAGGAAAAAAACGGGTACACAGGATGAACCACAAGTGGAAGGTTAGCCTTATGGAGTCATCATAAAGAAGGGGAGGTTAAGTGACCAGCTGACTCGAGAACTCTAGAACCCGGACCAAGTGTCCCAGCGGCCAGTACATCCCGAAACCGTCTACTTGACCTCCTTGACAAGCATATACAAACAAAGAAGAAACCGAGGCGATCAAGTGACGCTCGCGCCAAGTCAACCATCAAAAACCTATCAATTCCTGTCATCTCAATTCCGACAGAAACACCAGATCAACCAGATGTACAAGAAATCCAGGTCGACTACTCGGTTTTTGAAGTGGAGGAGCTTGCCAAAATGGTTTCGGAAGTTGGGGTGGACACTCGGGGAATGGACAAGTCTGATTTGATCCGGAACTGCGAAAAATTTAAAGATTTGAGTAAGTTTTCAACATTTTGCTTCTGATTAGTGGTCATGAGGCAAGTTTTGACTCGAGTACACTGTTGTCTTCTTCCTGGATGTATTTGTAGTAATAACACCGAAGCCTCCGCGTGTTGATCGCGCGGAGAAGAATGGCTCAAAATCTATGGCTTCCAAACGTAAAGGTGCGGACTTGACCTTTGGTGAAAGATTTCAGGTAATATGTCAGGGTGAGTCTGTCTTTATCAGTCTTTCCATGTAGCATGCACTGATACTTTTATGGTTTGATTAACAGCAGGTCCTGGAAAAACGACAGCGGAAGAACCTCATTCAAGTCCAATTGAAACTTCGACATCTGTTCTCCCCAGTCTTCAGCATGAAAACTCACCAAAACATCAATCACGCCGCAAGATCCCAACTTCTAAAGCAGCGTCTGCCAAAAAGAAAACCAAAGCTAAAGAACGAGCTCGGGAAGAATCTGAAGATGATTACGAACCAGAGCTGGATTCCGGAACTATTCATGATCCCAACCACGATCCCGATAACAGCACAGAAATCTCTAAATCAAAAAAATCTAAGCCACGAGATAGTGCAAAGAGGAAAAATCAGACGACAGAAGATGACCTAGAAAACTCACCAAACAATCAATCACACCGCAAGAACCCGACTTCTAAAGCAGTGTCTGCCAAAAAGTCAACCAAAGGTAAAGAACGAGCTCGGGAAGAATCTGAAGATGAAGACAAACCAGAGCTGGATTCTGGACCTATTCATGATCCCAACCACGATTCCGATAACAGCACAGAAATCTTTGAATCAAAAAAAACCAAGCCACGAGATAGTGCAAAGAAGAAAAATCACACAACAGAAGACAACCTAGGCCACTCAGATGTCGAAAGTATAAGCAAAGGTGAGTTTATTTGTGATGTAAGATTCAGGATTTCCCAAAGGATGATGATCAGCTCACGGTTTGTGTGGTGTTATGTTAGAAAAAAGCAATGAATACAATGAACTAAAGAATTTTTGTCTGGCCACCAGCCAAAGGGTTGACAAACTAGCGCAAGATGTCAAAAATTTAACACGAGTGATGGAAAATGCTTTAGCCGAGGATGGCGAGAAAGTAGTAAAACAAAAGATGCGGGGTGGTAGAACAGCAGTAAGTCATCATCTATCAAGCTTGAGTCAGGATCCATCCATTCAACTCATCATGTTGTTGGGAAGGCCCATGTTCGTTTTCATATCGATGTGATGCTGGGAAGAAAATCCGAAAACAGTCCACCACCACCACCGGCAAGCACTGAAGAGAAGGGAAGGTGGATGTATGACATAGACATTGATGCTATCAATATTGACATCTCCGAAATTTCCGAACCGCCACAACCTTCCACAAATGAAAACCCATCTGAACCAAGCCATCGACCGGGGCATCCAGATGCCACGCCTCAGCAGCTCGCTGTAATATTGAAGCTGATGGACTCAGTTGGCTTAGAAACCTTTAGGCCCGATTTCTCTGATTCAGCACAATCACAGGAAAATAAGTGGCTCTGGAGTATTTCCGAAAAGATATTTGTCAAACTAGTTGATTATGGAGAGTATCCAGGGGTGTCTTTGGACGACAAGAATAGACAGTACATCAAGAATTGCTTCGCTACATACTTTCAGACGTTGAAGAAAAGGTATGTGAAGTTTTCTTCTTTACTATATCATAGCTTGAAACCGCTTACGACCAAATTGTAAACTGACAAAATGTATTTTTGTATGTCTACTGTCTTTCCACAGGTATCGTAAAGAGCAGTGGGAGGAGGACCGTCGGAAGGCAGCAGATGCTACGAACAGGCGCACCACAAGACTTGGTCGTGTGGGTCCTTTTGAGAACATTTCTCATCTGGAATAGCTACTGACAATATAATTTTGTTTTGGACATTCAGCTCAGAAAAGCACGAAAAAATACCGTAATGAATCACCGTTCATTATGGTCTCTCTTACCCCTGATTGAAGCTACGTGCAGTGATGATGAAACGGACCCCGAGGGCGCATCGGACACAACACCAGGAGACAAGACACCTATACAGGTTAGAAGACTCAACTGGCGTAGTGAAAGTCTATCCAATATCTGGAAACGCCTTGACGAATCTCAAGCACGGTTCAGGAGGAGTCTCCCTGGAAACAACACCTCTTCACCGCGTGGTCGCCCCTCGCGTCCACGTATGCGAGTGCAGAATGCACCTTTAAGTAAGATTCCGGTGCCCGAAAATCTGCCTCGGGACTGCTATTCCAACGAATTTCATGATAGCCTCACTGTCAAGGAGAAAGTATCCATGAATATCGATTCACAACTTATACTACCTGCCATCCGCACCGCCTTGGATGGGCTTGGCTTCTAGGTTTGTGTGTAGACCATCTAGGCATAGCTATAAGCATTTTGACGTAAGTACTTCTATGCTTATTTTTCCTAAGCATTGTATTAATGAGATCCTTTCACAGATACAAGGACTGGTAGTAAATGAATTCTTGGAAAGAGAAAAGGATTTTACATAATTCAATAGAAACAACATATGTATGACTCGGTGGTATGCAATGTATTAGATATTTGTACCGTACTCATAGTGAGCTTAGTGATCATGGTGATGTACAACAACTGGGTTTGTTCTACATTGAACGCAGCGTGATAAAGATTGATAGGAGAAACATTCTATCTATCTGTTGAGACTAAAGCCACGGTGGGTATGTCAAGATTCTTGTGGATCAGGCCAGGCCTGTACATCATCCAGGCACAGTGAGCAATTATCTCATCTAGCTTCACGATTCTGTCTGTTGTTGGACTCCAAGCACACAGGTGAATTTGTGCATCAGGTGCTTTCACTAAGCTAAATGGATCAAATCTTTTGAGTCTTGATGGGATTTCAGGGAAACACTGAACCTGTACCCAAGTTTGACGACAGTTCTTGGTGACTTTTGATGATCTTGAGTGAGTGAAGATTGAAAATATTCTTCCATAGGCCACTTTATCTGTAAGACCAATTCTGAATGCCACAAAACTATCTTTCTGAGAAGTCGAAAAAGTGGAAAATGAAACACTGTTGTGTGTTATGCGTTTGTGGAAGAATGCCCGAGGCTGGACTGGTGAGATCCCAAAACTTTCATCTTCACTGAGCAAACATAGATCCTCTGGTGTCATCCATTGGTGCGAATCTCCTGCTTCCCCGTTTAAGCGATCAACCAGCAATTTCAAAACATCGTTATCAATTGGCAACATATCACCATTCGACTGTCTTCTAGGCCTCCGCTCTTCTGCCTCATACAGCGATTGAAGCCTTGTAGCATATGCCTGAAGACGTTCCGGAAGTTTGTGATCCCTCAAAAGCGCGCTCAAGTTTCCTGCAGAGCAGTACCTTTTCAGGAAAGTTATTTCGAGCTCGCCTGCTCATATTGAAAGGGAACATGACGTACAAGATTCAGTTTTTCATATATTTGAAAAGTCTTTCAGGTCAGAGAAAAGAAACGAACCTATATGATTATTATGGCATCCCTTGAGTATACTACCCATCAATCTTTCAAAAAAAAACGACCACCAAGCGCGCACAGGACCAAAACGCCTCAGGAGATCGGATAAATGGATTGCCATATGATGATTGGGTGCGAGACGGCAGTGTTGAAAGAGTTGTAGTGAGCTACTTAGGTATTCATGGATATGATATTCGTATCTTTCAATTTGGTCCAATGATATGTCTCGCTTGAGGGCAAGGTTGACAAGCGAGACAAGATGAAGAAAGTTTTTCAGGAGACAAGTCTTTACTTGATCTCGACCAAACCACAAGGGAATCAGTATGAGGGGTAACTGAAGAGTGAACAAGTTTCTCCACTCGTCAGCTTTGAGCTTGCCAAATGACGCTTTGCCAAGTACTGGGATGGCGCGTTTGATCCAACTTGGAATATTGATTAGATGTAATTGAGAATTGATATATTGCAACATCTTTTGATCAAATATGATCTCATCGAGAGGTGGCGCATCCCATCTGCCGTTCCATCCGGAGTCACCAAGGGGATCAAAATTCTCATCACTGGTGTTGGTGTCTTCATCAAAAGATAGATCTTGAAAAGCAACCCTGTCCGTTTCCTCATTTTGATTTTCGGCCTGTTGCTCTTCATTGGCATTTGATTGCAGAGGCTCTGAGTGTTCTAGGATAAGTTCTTGAAGCTCTGATTTTGTTATCGGAGGTAAATCATCTTCTTCATTCTTTACATCTTCCATTGACCAGAATCGGCGTAGATGCCACGACAGAAGACCAAGCAATAGATTATGCATGGAGTCGACTACATGATAGTCAACAATGTCCCAGTATTCAAGTTCAACCAGTACTGAATATCAAACGCCGTGAGTTTTAAATATCTTCTTTCTTTCTTCAACACCATTTGAGTCACGCGCTTGACATGCCCAGATCTTGTGCTGTGATGCTGTGCGTTTTTTCCACGTACTTTGATCTAAGTTATTAATGTCATCTTTAGTCAGATGACAAATAGAGCAGAAATTGATTGCTGTTGCGCTGGGAAACCCCAATGATCTCCTAAGAGCTGGGATATCAGCAATGAATACTAGCAATGCGGCCCTTACTAGACGGCCATTCTTGTATTGATTGGTGCGCGATAAGAGCAATCCCGGGTTCCATAGAGCTTTCAGTTCGGTGACAATTGGGCGTAATATCCAATTCATCTGCTCTAGCGCAGGTTCACAAGGACCTGGAGCAATACCGACCAAGAAGATATTCTCTGGGTGATACCGGATGTCAAGTGGTAGAGTCAGACATACCAAAACAACAAAGGTAATCGATGCGTGTTTTCCACTAGTCTTGTTTCCATAAGGGTTTATGGCGTCGACGAACATCCCAAACATCAAATTTCCAGATGTCGCAGTGTACTGACCACCATTCGGACCACGGAACTCTTTCCATACTTTTGATTCATGTATGTCGCTCCACTTGCCTTTCGGATTGAAGGGCTTTCGAGATTCCTCAAGAGATTGATCGAGTCTCTCTTTGATGTTTTGACGAGAGAGTAAACGTGCGATCCAATCGGAAAGTCTCTGGAAGGCGTATCGCCTGATTGCTCTTTTTTTTTTCGCGCTTGAAATGCAACAAGGGATGACCACAGGTTGTTTCTAAAAACTCTAAGTTATTGGGCTCATATGTAGGTTCCGAAGAAAGCTTCTCAGTGTTTGCCTCAAATGATTCGGGAGGTCCACCGGGGATTTGAGCATAGCGATGTGTACATCTTTCTGGAGTACGATCGAGTGAGTACAGAGCAAAGCACGATTGACAGCAGTTCATCTCGATGAGAACGGGCTCAATATTTAGCCACCGGATTGCTGTGGTAATGGTTTTTGGGATACGGCTTAAGATGAGTTGATCAGGCCTGGTGAAAAGCATTGGAGGTTGATATATGTTCATTGCCCCGGTTAAACAAAGCTCGATCATAATCTTGAGACAATCAAAGAGCCATGTGGCGGTGTTCATCGACAAGTTACCAAAGATGCTCAGGATGGCGACTACCAGAACGATGTGAAGCAGTATAGGATTCATTTCTTGCAATGAGAATTTGTAAAACCGGTCTGTGCAAACACAGAGGAGGGATAAGTTACCTGATAGTACAAGGGTTGATTGGTGAAAGTGAATCAACTCACCACACTTATATACTTCCATACCTGCTGCCTTCGCTTCTGTCGCAGCCAAGCAAGTTTTTGGCAGGTTTGAGGATTGTTCAGGTCCGCCCTTAGATGCTTGTGATCCTGAGCAAGCAGTCGCATTAGGCTGGTGATCCTGGAACAACCGAACGCAATCACCGTGAGCCTCGATCTTTAGGCCGCGAAGCAAACACGTAAAACTGGGAAGTCACCTGGGAATGTTCTACGCCGTCTGAAACCAAATGAGAACTGGAATCGGGAGGTGATATAGCATGATCGATTGAATTCAGACCCAAGCGTGATATAGAGCTGATAAGCTCATCTTGGCCGGACGTATGGCTTCCCAGATCACGAGGATTTGATGTTATAGAAAGGCTGGCAGTGGCTTGGGCTGCTCTGTCGGCCAGTTCGTGGGCAGCAAGCGTTTGAGGTAAGACCTCCACTCCTGGTCGAGTTATCCCGTCGGCATCGAGATATCGTCCCATATAACACTCATATGCGCGACAGACACATACTACTCGATGGGGGATATTTTTTTTCTTTGTGCTTGGCGGCATGTTGCAGGTATCAAAGTTCGAATCCACAGAAGGTAGGAGCTGAGAAGTAATTGATGTTCACTTTCCAAGATAATAGGTTGAGGGGAAAAAGTCTGCTGAGTGTACAGATGTGGCTATGTGGACGATTAGGGGGCAAAAGGCTCTTTGATTATTCAGACAAAATGGATATCTGGTTTCAAGATAGCTAATCTAAGGCTGGTTTTGATTTGAGGGATTTAAGGAGTGATTAGACAAAGGTTACATGATTGGAAGATGTATGAGAATGCGAGATTTTCCATCCAATGTAACCAAGCTTCAAATGTGTTTGAATTTGTGTAAGAAATACATCCAAAATAGTGCTATACAACAATCGAGCATCCGACAAGGACATGGAGATAAGATAAGACAAGGAATTTGATACAAATGGGGAGTCTCAGATGAATAGGCTACCTGAACTGTGAGATTGTCATACATGCACAGAGGAGAGTTAGCGTGAAACATAACCAAAACCAATCACGAAGAGACAGACATACCTGAGCTAGATAAGATCTGGAAGCATGAACGTGAACACGGGTTTGGCTAATTGGAGAAGTTTTGTATGATTCAATTACATCCAATAAAATGGTTAGCCAGAAACATCTACAAGCGAAGTAATGAAGGTAGATGTTGGACTTACTTGGACATCAGATCAAGCTTCTTTGCGCAAAAGCGAGTAATGAAATCCACGGACCAAGAGCCCAGGCTGAACCTCTTCATCGAGAACAAATTTGATGTAGAGGTTGACAAGAACAGGGTGACTCATGGGAGTGGAATGAATGAAGACATGCGGGGCCCGATCTTGTAAGGTTAATCGAAGCTCTTCCATGAGAAGGCTTTTGACTTCCGCACGTCGAACAACGTTTGGAGGCTTGATGAATGGGGTATCGCCAGGGATCTGGAGATCTTTGTCGACATGCTCTCGATACAGATAAAGTAGACCGTTCGATGTTGCTGCCTTGGGTATAACAACTGAGGAATCTGCGTCCCAAATAACTCCCATAAGATCATCTCGTTTAGCCCTTTTAGAAAGGGGATTGAAGTCTGTTCTAGTAGGTTTATCGGTCTGCATTGGTAACGGAGGTGGAGGTTGTTGATATGGCTTGATGAGAGGTAGAACATGTTTGGTAAAGGCTGCAATCAACTTATCCTTTTTGTGATTTGGACGAGACAAGGTTGCCGGATCAAAGTGTGCCAAGATTCGGTAATAATCAATACTCTTGTAAGTTTTCTGCTTTGCTTCATAGTCGTGATCGAGGAATGAATGAAGGTTGTCCGGTAACGTTTGAATCTTGAAGTAGGTAGCATTGAGCGTCTCCCCAAGTTTTTGAGGAGGGGGCTGGAAAGGCGGTTGACCGGTAGGTGGAGGAGGCTGGTGCAATGGCTGCGGCGGTAGACTAGGACCTTGTGATTGACTGTTGTCTGTCTTCGAATCATTCGGAGAAGTCCCAGTAGACATTCGAGATGTCGGAGAATTCTTCTTCTTATTTGATTTGTTGGTCATCCTGAGATACAAACTATCAGACTTAATCTTTAGATCAGCAAAATGAGAATCATCAGTATGAAAAGTTCATCACTTGGCCCACATACAAACAGATACTTACATCCAAAGTTCTTTATAGTACCAAAAGGTGCCTCGGCGTATCTTGGCAAGTTGGACTTGATGGTGTAGACTGATCGAAGATTTACCAAAGCAAGAGAAACTTATAAGCAAAAAGATTCACATGCTTGAAAAGATTCAATAACATACTTAGGAGAACCAGCAAACAGTTCAAAGACGACAGCTCACAGAAGGTTTAGAGGCTGATGGTGGCGGAATGAAGAGAAAATCTACAAGGTTGTGAACATCAGATAAATGTGATGCCTGATATATGTACGGCTTGTTCTATGAGAGAAGGAGAATACTTACTTTCGAAGCTGGATGGTCCTTTGATGATAGATATGACTTGTCTGTTGCGGCCTCGTGCTTGTGCAGCTTGACATCCGGTGAGTTGTTGCAGTTCAACTTGGTGATGGTAATCCGCCGCTCACGGGAATATATACAGCTTATGAATTTGTGGGAGGTCATACGAGGTTGCAATGAAAGCAAAAAAAGGAAGTACGGACATGCTTTTATTGCATCTTTTTCTACCGATCATATTGAGCGGAGATCGTGCAATACTAATGACAAGGGCGCTTTGTTGAACGCAAAAGTTGACAAAGAAATGATTGGATAAAATCAGAACTCTACAAATCCTAAGGTTAACAACAACAAAGGACAAACAGGGTGCAAACAGACGCAAGTGATTGAGTTCTAGTAATTTGGAAGATCATCAAGAAACCTCAATAAAAACTGTCTTGAGGTGGGTTCATAAGCTCAAGGATTGTAAATTCAATAGGGGTATATTACAAAATGATCATCTTCAGAAAGAAATGTTTTCTGCGCCCCAGATTTAAGTACTGTCTGTTATTTGTGTTCTGGGGTTCCACTTAATGACATAAGTCATTTATGTGTTCCGCCCGGAAAACATTATTTTTTTAGTAGTGTTACTAAAGTTACTGGGCCTGGATTGGAAGAGATCTAGGTGACTATTGTTGCATTACCGTACGCAATGTCTCTGAATATGTATCTGTCTCACGAGTGATGATTGCCTGACCATTGTGCCTCCCAAGCTGTCCTAAACCCACTCGCTCTATCCCAATACCTTGCTATTACTTGATGCCTGGCACAAAAGATTGTTACAAGCCCAGAGTTCTTCGATCACAACCAGACCCTCTTTGTACCTGTTTCCACACGTGATTGTATACGATTTGCTGAATACGTTTGTTATACAATTTTACCATGTTACATGCTCATGGGTCAAACTATGGATTATGTGCCCATAGGTTGAACTATAGATTGTGCTTCCTTTTGTCTGTGTTATTGTGTTAGTGTTTTATTTCAATTCATAATCATGTTATTGTTGTGTTTCCGGCCTGGTTACTCATATCATTGCATCAAACTGTCTTGGCAATGTTGATCATGTTATTGATTACAATTAGGCAATTAGTATTTACATGATCGGCCATGACGTACTGCATCCATGGTCCAGTCTGCTTTTGCCTCCGTGAATTATTGATTGCAACGGTTTCTTGGTTAGATCATCATTGAATAATAAGCACCTGATTGCTCTGCGCGCATTGTCTTTGGGTTTTATCGCCCCTCCAGTCAGATGAGATCTATACCCTACGCCTGCTTACACGGGGTCATGTTTGCGCGCGACGGTGTTGTGCGCCAGACCCCAATGGTCAATTCATCAAACCAGTACTGTGCCCGGGCTACATTCGTGCGCCCTAACAATCAATCAGGGGTGTCGCGATGGCCTTATTTAAGAGGCGTGGACATAACACAATTTGTGCTACGCCTGCAACCATTGTCAATCATGACTATGTTCTTTTACTGGTCTTTCAAGGCATTGATTACGCCTATCCATAGACTTCAATATACTATGGGGCTCTCAGTTGTCAGGTAAATCAAGGCACAGTCGCACGACGTGCTAAGCAAGTCTCACGTCTCGGTATGTATTGATTCTCTTCAGGTGTTACATAATGTGTGGTTGATAGTATTTCATACTGGAATGGAGGAGATTAAAGATACCAAAACAAATATGAAAGTATTGGGGGCCACGTGCACATTGGTTTTGTAGTCTGAGCGGGGTGACGGGTCGTGAAACCGGTGAACTGTAAGTACATCGTCTACGTCATTCAATTCGATCCCGTGATGTATTTTGTTGAATCAAGTACTGAACAACTTACCTAAGAATCCTCCGAGAGCAGTATCTCTGGTTTGTTATGGTACGGGATCAAGATAGTATAGGTGTATGCGGGCACCGTACCGTCTCGAAGAATCCGTCCAGAGTGGTGGCATGGACGCGGGAGTCCTTTGGACTCTGCGGGTTGTGTTTCAGTATTGTTTCGATCCCCATATAGAAATTTGCTAACCTTTCATGAATTCTGCGACCAGCTTTGCCAGCACCGACTTGGCGATACAATGCTTGAACCAAGAGAGGGTTGTCCATTCCACGACTCCATACCCACCCAAGTGATGGCTCTCTGAGCTATGCAATACCGCCATCGACATCACTCTTTTTGGTATGAGGCCCTTCGCAGGCTTAGGCTTTTGAGATACCATTAGGAAAGGAAAGCGACTGCCGTTCAACCAACTCGGGTGTGCGTGGATTGAAAACAATAAGGTGTGCAGATGCGGTCTGGAACCATTCAGTTCTTTGTAGGACTGTTCTGGCATCTCAATTGTTCATTGGGTCACAGCGTATTTATAGACCTTGCTTGGATGATTACCCGCACTGTGCAATTGGGAACCCATCATCTATCATCCAGTATAAGCCGGGATATTTAATTGGGTTGACGGCTCTGAAATACTGGATACTCATCACACGGTCACACTTGGATAGTTGTGCCTGTGTGTTTGCAAAGCCCACTTTTCTGTTCCTTGATTATTTGTATCAGGGAATGATGGAATATTGATTGATTGTGATTTCACTCCAACCATATGGTAATCCTTGACAAGGATGCTGGAATGGGATCAGGCTGCCCATGGATTTGATGCTGTCTTTATCTAATGCTTCGTATCGGATAATTTACTCAGGGCATAATGGCCAGTCAGGGTCTCATTCGCAGGCAATGCCCCTTGATCGCAATAATGTCTGATCACTGGTTTTGTGTTCTCTTTGGCTGCAGAGACACTCATGACGGTGCGTATCTATCCGAAGCGTGGATATTCAGGCGGAGGTGGCGAGTTTGTTTGTCTATCAAATCTGCACCTCGAAACTCTCCTTATCATAATGTATAACTGATTCGTTAGGTTTGCAGGTGGTAGTGTGTGTGAAGATCTGGACAAGTGATTTGTGTACGGTCTGGTAACAGGTTTGTTTTTGTTTTGTCTCTGACACTACACCAAATGTAATCTTTACCGAGTGGTAAAGAAAACTACTGACATAGAAAAGTCCTGAGGCAACAGGAAGAGAGCTAAAAATCTGAAAAAATAAGTACCTTGTTCCTAGATGTTGGGGCGTGATGATGAGTATTTTTTTGTGTTTTACACGCAGATATTGGTTAATGTACTAACAATAAAGGCTGAAAATCATCAAAAACCCACCTGTAACAATACCTGAAATTTGGCCCTTGATCTTGTAGACAGGATTTTGAAATCTTCAAACATCAATAACTTTTGCAGTTCTGAATCAAATAACTCGATTTTTGGTTCATTGAAAAGGTGAGTCTTTCCTCTACATTTTTCATTAAGACATCACATCTGTAGCCCGTCTGAAGAAGGTCCCACAGAGCTATTCATGCAGAACTGTTTGGACATATGTAGAGCGTTCAAATGACTAGATAGCACCTTACTGACATTATGAAGTGTAAAGGAGAATGGTTCAGCTCTTCAATGAACCAAAAATCGAGTTATTTGGAGCAGAATTGCAAAAGTGATTGAAGTTTTTAGACCACAAAATATTGTCTTCATAATCATGACCCAAATTTCAGGTATTGTTACATGTGGGTTTTTGACACCTGTGTGCACCTGAAAGCACCAATTCTATTGGACGATACTGTCACCTGTATCATCCAATGTCATTGAAATACACCCTAATAGAAAGTCTTAGAAACATAGTTGCTTCTATGGTGGAATATAAATTTCTCTAAGTCCCATTTTTATAAGGGGGGGGCCTTGCCCCACCTGTGGCTACCCGCCCCTTCGGATACTGGCCAATAGGAAACGGGTCATTCCTATCGGCGACAAGCCGAAGCCTCCCCTTCCGACACGCCGACGCCGCCGACGCGTCGGCTTCACAACGACAACAACACAAGTTCACACCTAAATTTGAACATCGCCAACATTCACTACCACTCAAACATAGTATTAGCATACTATCAACACATAGAACAGCTGCACACAACACTATCCAACGCTCCAACATGTTGTTACATATGAAGCTGTCACACTTGTGTGATTTCCAGTCACACGGTGTGATTTAAGATCACACTTGTGTGAATTTGGGTTGAATTTGTGAATTCACGGTTTTTGGCGGCACGTGGACAACCCTTTGTCACACATGTGTAATTCGTGGTCACACATGTGTGATCTTGAGTCACACCAGTGTGACCAATTTGGGTTGAACTTGTGAAATTACGGGTTTTGGTTGCACTTGGACAACCCCTTTTCACACATGTGTGACCATAAATCACATCCTGGTCACACATGTGTGATCCATGATCACACATGTGTGATTTTCCCTTGGGCTATAGACTGTAAATCACATACATATACGTGTAAATCACATCCCGGTCACACATGTGTGATCCATGATCACACATGCGTAGCTCACAATCACACATGTGTGATTTTCCCTCGGGCTATAGACTGTAAATCACATCCCGGTCACACATGTGTGATCCATGATCACACATGCGTAGCTAACAATCACACATGTGTGATTTTCCCTTGGGCTATAGACTGTAAATCACATCCCGGTCACACATGTGTGATCCATGATCACACATGTGTGATTTTCCCTTGGGCTATAGACTGTAAATCACATACATATACGTGTAATTTCAGTTAACACTTCCGTCAATCAGAGTCACACGTGTGTGAATTCTAGTGACACATGCGTGACCTTTCAGTGCTTGTAACAAACTTTTGCGCATTCACCTCATGGCACGTCACAAGA